TTTTCTAATCACTTTTGGAAATTGCTTGTTAACTGCTTTTCAGATATTAGGAACCTTTGGATCAACAAGTTTTATAGCATTGGGTGAGTTTCCTTCAATCCTTAGTGAAAGAAATTTTAAATACAAGTTTAAGGCTTAATTTTTTTTTCTTTTGGAATAAACAGCAAAAGGGTGATTAGAACTTTGACTTTGGAAAGTTACAAACAGATTAAGGGTCCAGGTGGATTTGAAATAAGATTTTGGAATTAATTATAAGAATCCCTCCTGTGGGAAAATGCTTTTGTTTTGAACTTGCCTAAAAAAAAAAAAAAAGATAGGATAAGACTTTGAAGGTTGGGCACTAGAGGGAACCAGAAGGAACTAACGATTACAATTAAAGGAGAAGAACACTTAACTTTAACTTACTAATACAGAATGAAGCAAAATATTTTAACATTAGATATATTGAAGGATATTTTTGAACAATGGACCCAGAAGTTAATTTTAAGAGTGCCTGACTGTATAGATAGACTATGTTTAAAAGATGTTATGAAAGAGGAACAAGTTTTACCTGACAAGATTGAGACTGATCTGAAAGTGGATTTAAAACTGACAGGCTAACAAGAATGATATGGAAAAAGATGTTACACTGGACATAGAGAAGAAACTGGCTGATGTCTTAATAATTAAAAGAATATATAAATAACAAATCAAGAGAGTGACCTGGATAATTTTCCTACATTGGATTTACAGAAGAAAGCAGTTAAAGCTTTGAAGAACTTTGTGAGAAGGGACAAAGAAAAAAATGAAAAGAAATCAACTTCTAGGACATTGAAGGGATTAAAGATCAAGATTGTTAAAAGTAAAAGGAAGGAATATAAAATTGGTTTATTTGATCAAGGTTAAAATAGATATGTTGTTATCTCTCGTAACCCTTAATGGACTTTTGCTGATCAGGACTGAAATGACAAGGCTTTAAGGATTTGTTTACAGATAAGAGATGGGATATGGGAAGAAAAGATCATTTGTTGTATTTTAAGAGAAGGTGATAAGTTACTAAAATTATTTATACTTGTTCTGATGAAGGAAGAAATAATTTCTTTATATATTTCTTTTCTTTTTATTTACTGTATTCTTATTTTCTCTTTTTTTTCTTTTCCTTTTTCCTTTTTTGCACTTTCTATTTTTTATTCTTTTTGTTTGTATTAATTTTTATCTTTGTCATTGTAACTTTTAATAACATTACTATATGCAGTATATAAAAAGATATTATAATTACTTATAATACTTTTGAAACCTGAACCTTGAAAAGAAGTGAAGTTCATGCTAGGATAAACTGGGCTCAATCAGTCTGAAACCAGTTTCACGATCAGTTGGGACTTCCAGTGTACAAATGCACATTTTAAAATGCTTAGGGTTTTAAAAAGTTAATTGTCTTAGGACAGGTGGAATCGTGCTGTTCTTTGTTCCTTAATTTGATACTTAGGTTGACAGTTGGAGACAGTTGGAAGATTTGAAAGGGAGGAAAAAATACAGACTATGGCATTTGTGTCTTCTAACAATAGAGAGGTGAGAGGAACTATATATATTATATGAAGGACATTTTGTTTTCCTGAAAGGGTTGACGTAGAAGATGACATTGGTCCACGATCCAGAAGTCAGACCGTACCTGCCTCAGCATGGTTTAGTAGTCGTGGGAAGAGGTAAATAACCCAATACTATTATTGTTGCTGTTGCTATTATTATTTTTACCATCCCCATCATTTCCTTCCTCTTCTAAAGCACCTACATTTATCACTGATAAAGTGCATATTATTTTCTAAGCACTATACAAGAGTTTGTGATGGATAAACATTTTGTTCATGTGTCCTCGAAATAGGTGAGATTCTTTTTAAAAACCAGGCAAATATGATACTCAATGATATCACTTGCTGTAATCCATTTGCTAACACCGCGGTTAAAATCTTTGTATCAACATTAATCAATAGATTAATTAATCTCATTGATTCATTACGTATGGAATGGAATGTCTAATAAAAGAAAGATTCAACCCTTTTTCCCATGCTAAATTGACTTCGGGGGAAACTCAGCTTTAAAAATTGGGGAAAAGATGGTGATATGGAAAAATTGGATGGAAGGGGGGATATTGACTTTGGACCAACCGATAAATGACGAAGATGAATTTGTAACATACACTGTGTTAAGAGATAAATATCATCTATCGGATGTAATCCAATGGCAATATTTACAGCTACAACATTTGCTAAAAATAAAAGGCTAAATCTCCTTTTCAGACTTGTTTTCGATATCCATATTTTATCTTCCCACACCCTAAAAACATGTGCGCACAACAACCTTGCACTATTACATGCAACGATAGATTTAAACTTCTGCTTTGCTTGACTCTAAGATGAATCTTTCTCAGTTGGATTAGTAATGCTATGCCTTGTGTAGGGATAACAATTGTGCAAACTAACCACTGAGTATTTTGGGTTTGCCAGCAGTACTAATGGAGAAAGAAGAACCTCAGAATCTCCCTGGAGTGAATCAAGATCAGCAAATATTTCTGTGAGAACCAGGTTAGTATGATCTGTAATTCTTTCCCATCCAACAATATGGCAACCAACCTGGCTGCAAAACATTAAGTGTGTCAATTAAAAACAGTACACTACAATCAACTAAAATAAACATGTTGATTAAAATAGCAGTTAAGCTTGCAGGTGTAAGCTTCAGTTGCAAGCTGCTATCATGATTAGGTTATAGCCACTGTAAATTACAAAAAGGCACAACCTTTTTATTCAGATTCATGCTATATTAAGGAACCTCCCATCATAAGGTCTCCATGGGGATGAGGAACTGGTGGTTCTCCAGACGTTGCTGAACTACAGCTCTCAGGATCCCTTACTTACCTTGCAGGTTGGGGCTGCTTGAAAATGGACTTCAGCAATATCTGTGGAAGGTTCCCAGATTTTTATTTAGCAAATGTACAGCGTAGCTGAATCAAAATGTCAGGCTCAGAGAAAAATAGGTTCAATGGAGCCAAGACATAGGCTTCATAGGTCAGGACCATCACTCTGAACTGACCTTGAAAGCCTACTGGCAATCAGTGTGGTGACCAAAAAATAGATCTAATACTTACATACTGTAGAAGCTCTCACCTACTAATAATCTGGGCTCCACCTTAAATAATAATAATAATTATTATTATTATTTTTTGCTTTGCTTTTATAGTGTTGACACAAACAGCTGCAGAAACGTGGCCTCAAAACCCTACCTTGGAACCTCATTCAACTACTCCAAGTCTATGGAGAGCAGGTAATGTCCATGACCAATTCCAGATAAGGTAATTTAGGTTTGTTGGCTTATTTAGGAGGCTGGAATTTTCAAGATGCTTGTCTGTTTTGAGGAGTGAGCTGTTCTTTAACTTTCTTTTATTTAAACTGGGGGCATGCTCAGTTTAATTCAGGTTGATTTCAGCTTTTCTGTGGGTTTTATTAGAAAAAATGGAAAATTGCAGCTCTGGGATTTGGCAGGTAGATGACTCTCAAAACTTAGACCCCCTCTTTCTTATGATCTTGTTGTCTGATCCTGGAATATATTCCCTAAGAAAAATTCCTGTTTCTTCCTTTGCTTTTTTCTTCTCTTTTTACTTACCTAAAAAAATTATACTATACAATTAACAAAACAATCTTTAACCTTAAAGAAAACTTCTAAAAAATTAGAAAATAGACAACTCCAAACTGAAAATACAAACTAATAAAGAAAAATCTACCTTATATTTATTTTATGCTTATCAATAATCATTGGTTTACTAAAAATACACTACTATAATATAATCAGTACAACATATTATTGCAAAATATCACAGAATCTCTGCCAAAGTAACACATATTGCTGCATCCTTTGGTTACTAGCAGAAATATTTCCTTTTCCAAATCAATGACACATTTCCAACAACCATTCTTTGACATCTGGAATAACATCACATTTTCAATTTCTCAGTATGATTCTTTTAACCACCCCCCATGCTCGATTCAACCATAGCTTTTTTTCCTCTTCTAGTTACAGATCAGATCAGGAGAAGCATGAAATGAGTTCCGGACATGATTCTGCCCCCAGGATCCCTACTTCTCCAAAGAGAAGGTAAAGTCCATATGACTCCAGTTTGTTTATACAAAGGCAGCCAAGATCATCCTTAAGACATTTCCACACTGGGCCTTCACAGTTCTCTTGGATCAGCTTTGCCCCACTGTCTCTCTCAGCTGCTCTGCAGGAAGAAACATGCTGAAACAAAGTCTTTTGCAGAAGTGATGGAGCGTAAGGCCTCCCCTGCCCCCTAGGCTCTGTCCATTTTTGGAAGAGATTAAATTGCTCTAGCAACCTATTACTATTATTTCTCTTAATAATTGAGCAGAAAAGGAATGACTTGGCAGCTCTTGAAGCCCTCAGCTGTGAACACTGAGATGTTTTGAATGCCCCATGAAACAGACTGTAGATGACAGGGTGGTCAGGACAGGACACTGGTGGGACTTCACTTTTTGCAGCCTTCTATTGGGCACTGAAGGATCTGCAATGGCTTCAATGGGTGTTTTCTGAGTTTCAAGACTGGCAACAGGGGTGTCTGCATGCCATGCCCATAAAAGATGGGTGGGGTTTCCATTGTGCAGTCATGGCCACCATCTCAACTCCTTTGACTCCTCTCCCCTGTGGATGCTCCTGACCAACAATGGTGAGGCTAGTTATTGGTCAGCTGAAGGTTTAGGAAGGAAGTAGAAAGGATGAAGGAATGCTTTCTTATTTCTGTTGTTTTCTACCCACAGTGAGAAGAATGAATTGCAGAGTCCCACGTTTTTTGACAAGTAAGCTCTTTTCCAAATAGCTTCTTTGATTTCCATCCTAACAGTTCAAGGTGATATCTATAGGTTAGCATAGGAGTCCCTGCCTTTCTTCGAACCAGTGAACCTATTCTCTTCCTCCTCTTTTAATAACTTATGGGATGAGTTCGGTTGAAATTCCCAAGCTAAGTGGGAATTTAACCAGCTCTTCTGAAGCATACTTTATTTAATTTGGGGAAAATGAGATGTAGGATCTTCATGGAGAACAATCATTTTCTCAACAGATCTGGCCTGGAGCACGAACAGGGACTCTCCAATGGAGAAGGAAAACATAAGGACCTGACCTCAAGAGTTGCAGAATTCTGCAAACATCAGCCAATCACAGAGAAGTAAGAATGTAAAATGATTGTCAGCACTCGAAAACCAAGATCCTTCTACAAGAAAAATTCCAAGTAACACACTTGGATAAAACTTGTTTTAGTCCCAACAAGTATGTTCCTTAAATATTTATTTTGAGTTTTCTAAAATTCTTGGATGCTGAACAAACACAGGTGTGTTAGGCCTGATGACCTTGCCAGCTGAGGATAATGGGAATTGTAGGCCAACAAACTGGGCGGCACTAGCTTGAAGGAACAGTGCTATAAGTAATTCCTCAAAAGTCAGTAATCACCTTGCTATAAGGGAACAACAGAACATAAAGCAAATACACTTCTACAATAGGGTTTATGACTCCATGGAAGCACATCAGGCTTTCTAGATGATTTTCTCCAGAAACTGTTTTTTAATTGACTGTGTGTTTTAATTAATTTTCCTATTCAAAGTTTTCAAAAATAAGAATGGTTTTTCTGTCCATAGGCTTACAATCTAATGGACACAAAACAAAAGAAAAAAGGGATGAGGAGGGAAAAGGAAAGCAATCAAATTGAGGTTTTCTTCAGTAACACATCCAGTTCTTCATCTAATACTGCACAATCTCTATCTGTCTTCCTTTTTCACCAGGGAAAACACTGGGGCTTCCTCAGGCATGGGATACAGCAGATCGACCGTCCTTGACAACAGTGAGGGTGTTGACTCAACAAGGTACGGAGGAGAAAGGGGGAAATATCCAAGCATCAGCCTGCTTCCCAAAAGATTTGTACCAAGTTTATGAAAAGAAGACGATTCTGCCCCTGTCACCCCATTTTCTAGGAAAAGTAAAGCAAAAACTCCTGCAACGTTGGCTGGCTCCAATGTTTTTAACTGATATAAAAAGTTTCACATAATCTTGGAGGAACTGGCTGTCACATTTTGAACACGCATTTTTATTTATCTTTTATTTATTATTAGATTTATATCCTACCTTTATTTTGTGCATCTCAAGGCATCATACATAATGCTCCTACCTCCTAGTGAGGTCTGTTGGGCAGACAGAGAGTGACCCAGCTGGCATGGTTCTTAGCGATGCTGGCTGGGAATTTTGGGGGGTGTAGTCCCAAAAGAAGTAGAGGTTGGGGAAGGCTGTCTTAGGAAAATCAGCTATTCAGCCTACCTTCGAAATATGGTTAAAAAGGCTGTGTGGCCACTTGACCTGGAAATCAAATTGGTGTCTTAGCCTGATGAATTAGATTAAAACAGATTCCTCCTAGTAAAACTATCCAATGGCGTTTTGCACATGGGCAAACACACTTTTGCAGAATTGAATTGGCTCTCCAAATGGATTGGCTAAGATGTAATGGTGTGTGGGAATGACCTTGGGAGACAGGGCAACAAGACACAACCAAGGGAATAGTCAGATAAGAGGCAGCTGAGCCCGCAGCAGGAATATGGGCAGGGCAAACGTCTCAGAAGGGACCCTCCCCAGTTTCTTGGACTGTAAAGGTAAGTGGGGAGAGAAGTCCTTTTAGACTTGTGCCAGGGAAAAAAAAACACGTCAAACACAGGAGGCAGACACACCATAAAACAAGTCACCTCAAAATTCTAAGTTCTTCTAAGAGCTTTATTGAAAGTTAGTTCAGCAAGAAAATAAAATGCAATCAACAGCGTAGAAGGTACTTACTTAGATACACATTGCAATGCGGACCGACAGGAGGAGGCCATCACTAGGACAGCCTAACCCATGTGGGTGCAGACCCCCAAATTGCAATCCATTTTATCCTTTAGAACCACAAACCACAATCATGACTCTTAGGATTGTCATAACGTCCCCAGAACTAATTTCACCACACTTTCCTGTTCCCTTTGTCCCTGTCACGTCTGTTCCCATCAACAAGTTTGCTTATTCAACAATTTGCTCTGGTTTGGCAAGTATTTTTCCTGTCAGTGTCCCACAGGTCATCTCTAAGCTAACCCTTGCTTTTATTATTAAATGTGATTAAGCAACATATATCTATATCAAAATAAGTTTTAGGCTACTCGCATTTTTCCTCTCACACTTGCAAGATTCTGTTCATGTAACCTTACAATAAACTAGAATTTGTTCATCTGGCCATGTTTCCTGTCTGGTCTTACCTTACAAGGGTGACACAAGTTGATTTGACACACTAAATCCACTCAATTTTCCCATTTGAATTAATACATCAAACTGATTTTGTCTCCTGAATCAAATCAACAGTTTGTAAGATGCCATGCATGTATGTCACTAGAACTTTGTTCTTCCATCACCCTTGAAGATGCCACCCCAATCAATAAATATCTCCAAAAGATTCCTACACAGAGCGAATGAGGCATGTAGCTAGATCTACTCACTGTAGTTTATGGCTTTTTAGCTTAGAGTGAGAGAAAAAAAGGAAAGACATGACCGAGGAATGTCAAACATATGGAAAATGTAGATGGAGAGAAGTTTTTCTCCCTTGCACACCTTATTAGAATTTAGGGCAGTTGATTAAAACTAAATGCAGAGAAACAGATAAACGGTAGCAGAGTTTACATCTGAATTAGTTGCCTTCATTCATGGCAGCCACCACTTTAGATGATTCTAGGGACTTGTTAAACTAAACAGATCTGTGGAAGAAATGGCTATCACTGTCACTAGTTTTGATGCCTACATACTACCTCAAGAATCACAGATAACATGCCTGAAGTGATAACTCCCAGGGAGTGATGGTGGAAGAAGGTTAAGATGAGCTTTCTGGAGTCACCTGGCTGGCCGTTATGGACATAGAAAGCTGCACTAGATGGGCCCTTGGCTTCTTTCAGCCTCAAAGCTCTTCTGTTTCAATGAATTTATGGTAATTGATTTTACAGTACCTAATGGTCATTATAAGAGTGTGGGACTGTTTGCATTACATGGATTTATTATCTCTCTCCTTTAGTCTCCTGCACTTGTAATGTGCCCGTAGATGTCAGAGGGCACTCCCCCATTTTGGGCTTAATGTCTTCCTTTTTTGCAGAATCTACTCAGAGCAGGAGAATCCAAGCAACACAGAATATAAAAAGGTGGAAGGTTACCTGGCTAAGTAAGGAGAGGGAAGGAGATTCAGTCTTTGCTATTTGTACAATTCGTGAAGGTCTTCTGCTGAGCATCTTTACATTAACATCTTTTGCATCATCAGCACCTTGCTGAATATTACATTTTATTTAAGTTTTTGGGTGGATGTGTGCACTATGTACTTGTTACAACCCTGCTGGAAAATGTCAGGGTTAGGATATGTGTATATTTCTACCTGTGGCTTCAACTGTTATTAAAATATCATCATTAAAAGTATTTTATATGAATTAATAATAGTATTAAGGAGAGGAATGATTTGCATCTTGTAGAAGTTCAGAATATTCTATAAATGACCTCGTTTATAAAATAGGCCAATGTTCTTGCTTTCTTGCAACTTGGTTGGGGAGGCTGAAATGGAGAAAAAAACAGGGCACACCTAGAGCCACAGAAGGCCGCAAGGTAAAAAAGAAAAAAAAAAGCTATGACTTTTCAGAAGTGCTTAGTGTTTTGCATTTAAAAGCATTTAGAAAGCACAACTGAAAAAGCATTGAAAACGTCCAATAAAATTGGAGGCTGCAAGAAAGGACCTGGGAACTCTGTGCAGCAACGTTCGACAGGAACAGATTGGCCAACCCTATTGTCTTTTCTTGCCAGGTCTGAGCCACAGCCTGGGGAAAGTCGTCTGAGCACCACTGGAATCCAGTGTGAACTCCTAAGTCCTGCCAAGAGGGAGGAATCAGATGTGGACACTACCAGGTGAAGTTTTGGTTCAGTAGAAAAACTGGCGTGGGAAAAGCATGATGCTGTGTAGAACACGTGCTATGCGCACAGAAAGTTTGGGGGAAAAGATTCCTGCTGGGGGAAATGAGGCACAATGTCACCCTCTTCTGCTGCAAACTAAGAGACTACACGTAGTTCTTGCTTAATGATGGTAATTGGGGCTGGAATTTCTGTCGCCAAGCAATGTGGTTGTAAAGCATGGTGTCACATGACCACATCACTTAGCAATGGCAATCCCAGCAGCCCTGGTTGCTGTCGTTAAGTGAGGACCATGTGGGTCATTAAGCGAGGACCTCATGGGATTGCGACTGCTGACTTCCGACTTCCTGCTGACTTCCCCATTGACTTTGCTTGTGGGGAGCTGGCAGGGAAGGTCGCAAATTGCGATCACGTGACCATGAGGGTGCTGCAATGGCTGCAACTTTGAGAACTGGTCATAAGTACCACTCGTTCAGTGCCATCCTAAGTTTGAATGGTCTCTGAATGAGTGGTCGTTAAGCAAGGACTACCTGTAGAAGTTCCTGTCCTCTCTTTGGCAGGAACAGAAGCTCAGCAGACCTTTTAGTGCATCTGTCATACCTGTCTCTGCTCAAAAGAGAATCACTGGAGGGTTTTTGATAGCAGAGGTAGACTAAAACATAGGCATTCTCTTCCCTTCCTTGGCAGGTACGGATCCCTTGCCAGAGAGAGTACAGTTGTCTCTCCAGAGAACCAATACAGACAGCAGGGGTCAGATGAAGGTTCAGCTGGGTAAGGAACTGACATTCTGCTCCCAAAAGTTTGATGAGATACTGTAATAGCTAGTGATGGGCAGAGCAATTGTCCTGCTTTATTTTCTTTTTCCTGCCAAATTTTCCTTCAACTCAAGGAAAGAGGATTTGGCTTTGAAATGCTTTTCAAAGAAGAAGAGAATGTTGGAGAAACTCTCATGGATGGAATGTGAAATTCTCAGCCTTGCTTAGTCAAGAAGTGGCCAAGAGATTCTGCAGCTGTTCTGTCTCTGATTGTGCAATCCTTTCCCCACCTGCCGCTTGATTTCCCACTTCCCATGGTTCCTTTAAAAGGTTCATTTTAAAAAAATCTCTCCTGATTCATCATGGGAGTTGGTAAATCTCCCTCATTTACCCCCGTCCGTTTGCTCTGCCTTTGGAAATGAACAAGTTGATTCTGTGCATCAGTTAGAAAAAAGGAAAGGCAGCATAACTTTGGAATCTTCGAAATTCCTTTGGGAAACGAGATTTGACCTTCTGACTTCTTGGGTTAGACTAATATTTTTAGCTTTAACCTATTCAGCCATGGGCTTCAAGTCTGATATGTATTAAAATCATGACAAGCTTGTGGCATTTGATGGACAGAAGAAAAGCATACCGTTCTATTTTCTTCCACATATCTGTCTTTGAGTTCAAGAAGGGACACACAAATACTGGTAGGTTTTAATATCAGGGTACAAATGGACCACTATCTACTGTTAATCATTTCTCCCTGCTCTTGTTTCTGTGTGTCAAGCTATATTGGAGTTGGGACTGAACAGAGAGACAAATAATCTAATACAATTGAAAGCATATAATGAACTGCTATGGTCACGATTAAAAAAAAAAACCTCACATACTTCATCTTCCTGGTGAGGATAGATTTGCCTTTTCCTTAATCCACAATTATTCTTTGTTCATTACAACAAGCAGCTGGAGGCACAGTTCTGGGCCAAGTTTAGCTGCACACTCCTTTTAGGTGGGTCACGTTGTAGCCTTTCGGCTGAATAGGGTGTTAGGGAGGTCTTAAGCATAGGTGCCCACTGAAGTGGTGGTGGTAAGTGACAAAACACTTGTTGTGATGTCACAAGGCATGTTTTATCATTTGGCGTCATTGCAGTTAGGAATGGACACCCATGGTCTTAAGTAGAAGGAACGGAGAGAGACCTTGCTCAGTGTCAGAGATGCGCTTAGCACACAGTTGGTTTCAGGTTCATTTCCCTGATGCTCCATTTTAAAAGGGATCAAGGGGGATTTTAAAAGGGATCAAGAATCAGGGGATGGGTCAGAACATTATTTTTCTATCCTACCTTTTAAGTTTAGGAGGGCACCTGGGTTTCCCTGGTCCTAGTTCTCTTCTTCCTCCTCTGCTTCCTCCTCTTCTTCTTCTAAGTTTAGACTTAGTTCCTCAAGGAGAGGTTTCTAGGCCAAATCCTCTTTTCTACTTGTACAACTTTAAGAACTGCTGGACTTCTTCAGCTCAATAGCATCTCTGTATTAAGAAGTCTTGGAGTCCCAGGGTATGATTCAATATTTCAGATTAAGTCATCTCCCTCTTTTCTTAAAAGGACTGCATAGATTATGCCGTCATCTGAATGTATTCATGGATCGATGGTGCCAAGTGGTACAATTAAAGGTGTCCACCACCTTCTGAGAGTGACGAGCAAAACCAGGTTTACTGTTAGAAGAGTATTCACATACCCTGTGAAGCTTCTCTAACAGATAATAGGAAACTATTCTCCAATGCCTTTTGTCAATTGAGGGATCCTTTTTCGGGCATATTAAGCTTATATTCCATATAATCACTGAATTGGTTCTAAGCAATTTGGCTGTTAAACAACATAAAAAGTGTCTTTCTTCTCTTGCACTGTGTTATATTTTTGTTTCATATCGTTCAATCTCTTTAGAACCCGCAATTCATTTTACTTTGGGGTCCTTTGTTATTGTGATCATCATGGCTCATGGCTTCATGCAACTGGTGGTGAGAATGCTGAATAGGATATGCCCAAAGAGCGTCACTTCTTTGCCAGTTGACCATAAGCATCTCCTCATTAGAATAATTTTAATTATATCCTTCTTTCCTTTTGATAGAAATCTAACCTGCATTTTCACGGCCAACTGGGCTATACTCCAAAGAAGTGTGATAAGGCCTAGATTTAAGACCGAACGTATGATATTTATTTTGCATTGTTTACCCAACTCTCCTTCTCATTTCTTATCTTCTGCCCCCCCAGGTTCTTCCAAATGGATGCTGGGGTTCTAAATTCCTCAGCAACCATGCGGTAGCTTACATCTTCTTCATCTGAGTTCTTTTCAAATAGCCAAATATTTTTGAGTGATATTTGAAGAATGACTTGACATTGAACACATTTCATGAGAAGTAACTCATGAAATCGGCTACTTGTATTCCTATCAATGTCTTCCTTTCTTAAATCACACGGCTCCAAATCCATCTACAGCTTTGCCGTTCCCTCTGAAACCGATGGGCCTTGAACTCGTTGTGACTTATTCAGTCCGTTTTCTTCTATAAAACCTGGCTGGACTGGAGCCATTTCCAGAGTTTGTTTTTCTTCTTTATGGTATTTTCATTTTCCCTTTCTTGGATCCCTTTAACATGTCCTTCTCCATTGTAATCCTGAGCATATTACTTGGATTGCTAGAGCCTTTGACTTCTGTTAATTAACTCCCAAGTAGATATGGTTAGGATTGTAATCTTGGTTGTCTCACTCTTGTTAGCATTACAATAGTTTGTCGTTTTGCAAACTATTTGGCATTGCTTCTTCAAAACCAGGCAGATGTGGTGGGTTTTCCTTTCCACTCAACTGCTTTACATCTGGAGGATGCTACTGTCTGCTTATTCACAGTGGCTTATTAATATATGCAGGGCGTTCTTGCAAAGCATCCCAGGATCACTTTGGTGCTGGACAGCACTTCTCTGCAAACAAACATGGGTTTCCCAAATTTTGTATTCCACATTGCAAGAGTAAACAGAAATCTTCCATGCTTATGAATTAATTAAACCAGTAGTTTCTGGCAAATATTCTCTGAGTCAGTCTCTGAGAGAGACAGAACTTCTTGTACTCTGTGCAGAGGGACTACTTTAAGCATGTTAGACCAGTCATAGGAATCCCAATTTACAACCCTCCCTGTGTTGGACATTGGTCTCAGGACTTTTTCACATCTGGATCGCCAAGCCAGCCATTTCACCAGATCTTCAGAGTCTAGGAATGGAACTGTACCATACAGGAACAATCAACTTTACAACCGCAGAATGTTGAGACTCAACCATGGAATGGTACCATACTTGTACAATCAGCCATTCAACAGCAGAAGGTAAAAAGGCAATAATCAGGGATCAGAAGAAGAAGTGGGTAATTTCTAGGGATAAGAAGACGGTCAAGTGTCCTACTTTAGAGAAGATAACTTCATAAGACTTTGAGGGCATTTGTCTATTGAAAGGCATCATTTCCTTTCAGAGGAGCTGTCCAATTAAAGAATTATTGTAGAAAAGGGAAAGTAGGGAACCATGAAAAAGCTAATCAACATTTATCATAGAGAAGCAGGCTATACAGGCATGCAAATTCTCCCATCACTGTCTTCCTCCTCCTCAACGTGAGATCTACTGCTGTTTGAGTGATAGTCATGATTTCTAAACTTGCATCTTGACATATCAGTTAGCACTTCCACGCTTTTTGTGGACACGTGGCCTCTTTTGATGTTGCAATCCTTTTTGAGTGATGTTCCTGGAACCACCTTTAGGAACAACAGGGGAAAAATGGTTTGCAAATCAAATCTGGAAATTTCGTACTTAGATATCCAGACCACTCTGCCTTAATCGATTTTCAGAGAGCCATAAAAATATGATTCTTCAGAAAGTATTTGGGATGAGTAAGATCATGCTACCCCCGAATGACAAATCACAGAAGTTGTAATTGTCATATAAGGTAAATTAAGATATTTCTTAAAGCTATAAAATTATCTGGCCAAGAAGAGTCTGTGTTCCTTGGAACTGATTAAAAAAAGTGTTTTCTGTAAGAATTCCCTAACAATTGCAGGGTTAATCTTTGGTAAACTCACACCTTCAATAGAGGATATGAAAAGGAGAATGGATTGCATTTTTTCCAGGATACAAGCTAACCCCGGGTTGGGGGGGTATCCTGTTCTTGCAAAGAGAGTGCTTGGAATGCAAAAAAGCAGGATGTGCATTATAAAAAAGCAATGTCTCTTTGAAACATTCAGACTAAGCTGAGTCATATTGAAAATTTCCCTTTCCTATATGTGCAGTACATCATTTCATTTGTTGTTACGTTTCTTTGTTAAGACTCAAATTAACACATACCTACATTTCCTCCTAGTATGTCTTACTACCCCTTCAGAGACCCTGGGACTAGCTTTCCAAAAAGCCATAGAGTGCCCTTCTATAAGGACATCTGTGACACAGAGAATGGAAGGTAAAGATAAAGAACTGAATACTCTGGTATTTACTCATTTGTGAATTATTAGAGTCTTTAAAAAATCAGCTTACACGCTGATCTCTGTCTTGTGATTCATATATATTCTATTGGTAGATTCCAAGGATGCAGCTTTTGGGGAATGCTATAATTGCAGAATCTTCACCAAAAGTTGGACTAATAAACTTCCTCTGTTTTATAATTTATTTCTCTTACATTAAAGTATTTGTTTGAGTTAATGCTGTTTGTTGTATTTGTTTATATCAGGTATATTGAAAGTGCTTTCGTTATATTTCTCGGGAAGTCCCTTTGATTTTTTTTAAAGGCGATCAATAAGAACTGCTAAAACATTTTATTTTTAATTTAATAATTGCATTGTTGTCCTGCCATTCTCCTTCAACAGTTGCACTCAAGGCAATGGTAGGCAACTCAAGACAGTCTAGAAGAAGGGACTTGAACCAAGTCTGTGCAGCTTCAGTAAAAGCTGCTGTATCATCTAAAGATTGTGCCACAAAATTAGTATTAGGGCATCTTACATTCATTTGCTTTGAGTAGTAGAAAAAGATAACTTGACTTGAAAACTTTTGATGAAGTCCAGGAATAGTTTTGCTGTGATCACCAGTGCCAGGACCAGCTATAATACTGGGCGACATGAGATAACAAACATCAGGAGCAAGGAACAACAGGTGAAATATTGGACTTGGTGTGGTGGTTAAGGCACCAGGCTAGAAAATGGGAGACCATGAATTCTAGTCCTGCCTTAGGCATGAAGCCAATTGGGTGACCCAGGCCAGTCGCTCTCTCTCAGCCCTAGGAAGAAGGCAATGGAGAGAGCCAGTTTGGTATAGTGGTTCAAGGCACTAGGCTAGAAAATGGGAGACTATGAGTTCTAGTGCTGCCTTAGGCACAAAGCCAGCTGGGTGACCTTGGGCCAGTCACTCTCTCTCAGCCCTAGGAAGGAGGCAATGGCAAACTACTTCTGAAATCTTGCCAAGAAGACTGCAGGGACTTGTCCAGGCAGTCGCCAGGAGTCATGACTGACTTCAAGGCACCCCCCCCCAAAAGTCATTCATCCCTTCTTAGATTTCATCCCTTCTTAGAGTTCTTAAGATTTCTTATCACAACCAGCTGGGCTGAAACAGTTCTGAAACTTTGCTCAGATAGTTAATGACTCAGCGACACTTGAGGAATATGTCTTTAATAATAATAATAATTTATTATCTTCTATGCTGCCCAACTTTCAATGACTCTGCGTGGCTCACAACAAAGAAAGACATTAAAATCAAATCAATAAAATGTAAGAAATAAAGATAAAAGATGGCAAGCACAGTGAAGCAAGGGGTCTCACCCTCCCTTGCCAAAGTTCTGGGAGAACAGCCAGATCTTCCTAGTTCTTCTAAACAAGAGCAGGGTGGGGGCCATCCAAATCTCAGGGGGAACCCCATTCCAGAGGGCAGGCACTGCTTCGGAGGGCTCTGCCCTACAATGTTCTTCCTTCCAAAACTCCGGGCAACTTACAAGGCCAATGGGGCAATGCTATTGATCTACACAACTATCCTACAAGGTAGGTTAGCCTAGAGAGACATTTTCTGGCCCTGTTTTTACAGTTCTATCAAACCCTGCAGGTGGCATTAGAGTCACTTGTTCCTTTGATTCCTTCTATGCACTGCCTTTGCTAAAAATTTTGCCTTGAGCCATTCATGATACAGCAGTTGAAGAGCCTTCTCTCACAACCTACATGATTTACCTGAACGAGTAGATTTTTATCCTTTTGTTGCTTGCACCCTGCTGATGTCTGTTCTGCAAGGAGGGGATAGAGTGTGATGATAGATGGCACGACAACCACGTCTGAGTGTCTGATCTGTCATGCATGATCGTACTCACCCAAAATTCTTTTCTCTTGCAGGAATTTGATGGATTCGGAGGTAAAGGATGCCACTGCTTCCTCCCAGCTGAAGACCTCTTCTAGTTATGATTCAGATTCTTCCACATCAGGGTAGCGTATATTGAAGAAAGAGTTGGGGGTCTTTCTTCTAGCTTTCCAATGCACCAGACATCATATCCCTTATCAAACAATGCCTCCTCTGAAGTGTGTGTCTCTTTTGCTCCTCTGTAGCAAAGGTCTCCTCTTTGTGAAAGAATCCATCAAAAGCATGGAATTGTCCTCCTCACCACGTTACAACAGGTAAGGAAACCAAAGGGAAGGACGCCTGCAAGTCTACAAAATCTCCAGCCTATCAGAAGAATTTGCTTGCAATGTTTTGTGTGGCTCACCTTTTGTGTTGGGTTCTTTTCTGCTGCTATTTAAGAATGGTTCCACCAATATCGAAATTCTTCTCAAAACCTGTTAAGATAGTGGTGGAGAAAGGGCACAGATATTGGAAGGATGAAGTAAATAATTGCTCAGGTGATGCATCTGCTGTTGGGGGACCGTCTTTCACATCCTCCTGAGAAATCAGTAGGTTTTCTCCAATTGTCTTCACATTAGTATTTTTTTTTTCACTTACCACCCTTGGTTCAGTCATGTCTTCTTCAGCATCTAAACACCATTCATGCCAGTCAGTGATAATCTAGTGGTCTCTCTATTACCTTCCTGTGTTTTTGCAGACATAAGTTGTGGCAGGGTGTTAAATCCAAGTGCATGTGATAGTAGGCAAATTGCTTTGGAGGCTTCAGGAGCTTTTCCACCTTTAATTAAATGTTTCCTCTTTGCCCAGCACTTTTTATTTGGCTTTTGGATGAGATTTCTTTTCCCGAAGGTCATCATGGAATAATTCAGCATTGTATCAAACGCTGCATGGGCCCTCAGTTTTAATTTAGCTTCTCACTAATTACGGGAAAGCACTGCTTTGGGGACATGAAAAACAAGGATGCCCCTTGAATTTAGTCAGTAATTTTAAAAATCTTCCTATAGAACAATTATATTGTCTTCTCTCCTTTCTTCTCCAGTCGCAGCTTGGTTGACTTGTCTGAGCTCGAGAAACCAAGCTACAGCAGTGCTAGCTATCTGAATAACACACCTCCAAAAAGGTAGAGCCAACCCTTGGCATATTGTTCCTGTTGTGGTTTGATATGGGATCCCTTCCAAACTAGACAAGGGCCAGGTTTCCATGAACCAGGCTGAAGTGGAATGGTGTTGTGGTTCAACATCTTGTGAGAACCTAGCTACTGTCTTATGTTGGGTGAACTACCCTGGTAGGGTTTGTTGGGAAGGTTCTACAAATACAGGAATCATTTTTGATCCAGGTTTGGTGTGTCGTGTGAACTCAGCTAATAATAATTAATTAACTCTGATCTCAGACCTCTAATTAAGAGACAAATAGAGCCTATCAGCCTGAAATCCAGCACATGCAGAATTTTATGAAGGAGTCAGTGTGGTTTTTGCAGCTGGGGGCAAAAGACAAGGTGTCCACCTTCCAATTTCACATATAGCAGGTGATACTGACAATAGGAGAGGGTTCTTCATGGTGCAGGGTTACTTGGGGAACACAGTGCAGGGTGTGCTTGTCACACCTCTGACCTCCAAAACTTCACCACTACTTTTTGCACCCTACCGATAGGAGGATATAGCCCTAAGAGCTCTCTGAGCTGCATGAAATCACAACAGCAGTGTATCTCTTCAACAAGAAGCTCTATGAAGTTAGAAAAGTTTTTACAACTGTCTTTTGATTTGCATCATCTTCCTTCCTTCTAGGCCTTTGGAAGATGTTTGTACTTATTGTGGCCGAGTAATCCGCAACTGTGCCAAGATATCTGTGGAGAACCTCAACATCTGCTGCCATGAATACTGCTTCAGAGTAAGAGTGCTCCTTATAAATGTGGTATTAATGGAGCTATGTAGTTGGGAGGAGAAAACAAGATGGGAACCTTCACTACCCAGCTGTACAATGGGATGTCCTGATCTTCAAGTCTCACAATTTCTGTCTGACCCTCCTAAGCTTTAGCATGTGAATTCATGCACACTCTGATTCAGACACATGGCAAATACATTACAGATGGAGTCACTGATTATTGGTTAGCCATTTAGCTGCAGAGCAATTGGAGCACAAGTACATATTTTTTTTGGTAGGTATGCAAAAGGTATGTTCATGGCTAAATAGAGAGCGACTCTCATACTTCTTCTCTTGCAGTGTGGAATTTGCCACAAGCCAATGGGAGATCTCTTGGAGAAAATCTTCATTCATCGGGATATTGTCCACTGTGATAAGTGCTATGAGAAGCTCTTTTAGGTGAGCATATTCTGCAATGGAATAAAAAGGGCTACGGTAGAAGGGCAGAAACCAGGGGGGAAATATTGTTGATAGCATAAAACGTAACTGTTGTAATGCACACTTAATAACCCTCTTGGGAATGAAAGTACAGGACAACTCCCGCCCTCTGGAACGTCATCCCCCCTGAGCTGAGACTGGGCCCTTGTTGGCCTTTGAGAAGAGCCTGAAGACATGGCTTTGCCATCTGGCCTGAGGATCTGGTGATGTTGGTGTATATATAGACATACAGCCTGCTAAATGGTCACCCGTTGGGGGAGATGGATGGCACACAAATTTAAGAATGAATGAATGAATGAATGAATGAATGAATGA